TGTAGAATTTGTGCAGAGAAAAACAATGTGTATCGTTGACAACTTTAAATGTTCATAACTTTATCTCACGGATAATGTCTTTGGAAGTTTTTGTTATCGGTTTTTGTGAGTGCTAAAGTTTTTAAGTTTTCGACAAGTTATCATAACATTGGTTAATATGCACGATTATGTTATTTGTTATAATTACATTCTTCTTTATTAAACGATGAAAATTTATAAATTGTCATTTTGCACTATATTTAGCAAGATATGATTTTTTCAAGCAGAATTTTCCCCCAGTTGAAAGGATGTAATTTTTGGAAGTGAAAGGTTTAAGGAACATTGATAAAATACTACAGTAACATACATCGACAAGGCCTTACAATTGGATAGCTATACATGTCCTGCAAGTGTTGTTTTTGATATCAATCAAAAGTTTAAAAACAACAAGGTTCATGTATAATGCTATGGCATTTGTAGCGAGGAAAGGCAGGGTCACCCAGTCCTCACTACAAATGCCACTTACAGGTTTCCAAGAAATAACAATTGAAAATTAATAGTAAAAGGAAGGTAAGGTACACATGCACGCTAAATGAAGAAAAAGAAAAAAATTAGTAAATTGACAAGTATTATTAGTAGCTCTAGCCCCATATGCACATAGCACTAATATCACGTATTAGAAAATGGTTATTAATACCCTCTAAATTGCTGAATATTACCATAGTCTATTAAAGGTTCTTTCAATAGAATATGATTATAGGCCCCTTTTTTAGTATTTTTTCTCTAATGCTATTCAAAGTTTTATTATTTGCAGTTATTTACAACAGTCTAACTTTTAAATTTATAGCACAGTCGGCGTTATCTTTCTCGATTAGTGTAAATTCTCTTTGGCCCGTGACTCAGATCTGGTTTTACAGTATAAAAATTCATTTGATTTAGTTCTAGAACCTGGCTGAAAAGTGACAGCATCTCTGGCTCCAAGGGACACACCCACTTTTCGAAATTCACGATAATATCAACGTGCAATGACACGGTGGTTTACCCAGTGACTCTGTGTAACAATGGAATGGTACCATGTTAAAGTATATAAACACAACCAATTTGTCTTCATAAAGATCATTCAGAACTATTTCCAGCGATGTTTCCAATTTAAATTTCGAGGAATATTGCTGCTAAGAATTAAAACTAATTATTGAGGTACTAATAATGAATCAAAAGATAAAAAATACACTTTTCTTTGCAAGATGAATGTGGTGTCACGTATACCAGTACGAAGAAGAAAGTTTTATCAAAAAGCGTCGCTGAAGACATGATGTCAAGGGAAGCAATCAAGGATGTCTTCTGGAATGGAGTGTATTCACAGCAACCTGCACACTTCATCGACCATTCGGTAAGGCATGCAATTATTAAAACCAAAATATCTCTCTTAATAAGCGAGTTGACGAATTCTTTGTCAACATGGCTGGGAATTTCGTTAGCAGATTCTTTCCATTTCTTTGCAAAGAAGATTTTGAAGTAACTTTGTTGTAAAATGCAGTTCTTATTCTTTAAATCTGGTGAGCATAGCAATGGCCTTTTGTGTGTACTTTTGTGATTTTCAGAAAAGATGTTAGAAAAGACTCTACGCACTGCTTTTCCAGTTGATCCTCTAATGTTGCTGAAATATTTTCTCTGAATGAAACTTTCTAACGAAGACATTCAGAGGTAGCCTGTATCATGATTTTAGAATTCCATCTCCAAGTGCAAGTGCCATCTTAATGTATTTGCTTTCGTGATTTTTTTCCAGATTCCATTGTACACTACACAATATTTTGCAATCTGTCAAAAACCATTTTTTCAACCTTTTCAAATGTTCGAATTTTTGTTTCATTTGTGATAAGAATCTTTTTTTCAAAGCAGATTAAAACCGGTTTAATTATTGTGATCCCCAGTTTGTTTTTCTTGCTCTTTTCTATTCAGTCAAATGAAGAGAGCGATGACGTACCGTGCACAGCAAGAAGCAAGAAACCGGATGCAGAAAAAGCCTCATGTAGTAGCCGGACTGAACAAGATGACAGGAATCCTCCTTACTCGACGTCATCAAAGCAACGTATATTTGAATGGGTTGGAAAAGATATGTTTTTAATAGGTGAAACTCCCCCACTTATGAGAAAAGAACAGTTCAAGAAGATCAGCAAATATTTCGGGTTTGAGACTCCTTTGGAGTTTGCGAAAGAATTAGTTATGTTCAGAAGAGGAGCTCAATCTGAAATAGTTAGATTTCTATAAATCAGAAGAACCATCGATTGTGCGGATTTCGTCATTAAGGAATGTTTATTTTGTTGCGAAAGAGAAAAGTCATTGTGCTAACTCCGGGCAATCCCAGAATGTCTTGCGAGGCAGGTCACAAGGAACACAAGAGGCAGGAGTCAAGACTCGACTAAGAAATCACGGAAAGCAAAGTTTTTTATTGAGAGGAAAAAGGAGACAAAAGAAAATTGAGTTTGAGCCAGACCTTGTGTTTGAAAGAGATCGCAGGGACGAGGGTGTTGTGTCCAATGATGAAAATGTTGCTGCAAATTGTCATATTGAAGTAGATGAGCATGGATCTTTCAATAGTTCGTCTGAAAGTGATAACGTTATCTCTCATTTTGATAAAAGGATGACGCTCAAACTGCAAGCTGAAATGAGCCTCAACAGGTTCAAAAGCCGAATCTCTTTTGACGATGCAGGCTGTAAAAGATCTACAGAAAATGATGAAGAAAATGTACAGTTATCACTAGAATTGACTAACTCTGAGGGCAGTAATGGTATTCTTGATGACTTGATGTTCTCCCCTATTAAGAGGGCTTCGAGGCCGTCTCAGCCTGATTCTGAGCATCCAGTGGATATCACAATGTTGGGTAATTGCAAAGGACTGGGTGAGGCATGCAAGAGAATAATTACAGATACTAATGAATCACTGTTTTCTTCGTCGGTCTTTGATGAACTGATACATGGAGTTGTGCATATGGCGAAACAGAGATTAATGAAGGAGCTTTAAAGGAGCATATTGGAGGTACGCTCATCATTTCAGGTAAAGGACGCGTTGTTTGTTCCAACATTTGTGAATCACAAGATTCCCCATCAGTTTTAGATTATTTGATGGGGTGAAATTCATCTATTTTATTACAACCTTACAGCAATGAAGCACAACTCCTTAACGAAATCAACTTGTTCTTGTATTCCTTCTAGATGGTGAAAGCCTTGTACCAGAAGTTTCCTATGTATTAAAACTTCACAACAATGGACCACCAAAGAGCCCCACAGGTGCCTTTTGCGTGGAGGTACTTTACTTTTAGGAATTACACTTTCGTTTCAGCTTTTACAGATTACCAAAGAAATTCGCTAACTTGGGACTCCCAATTTTTTCTTATAATGACCTTTCTCAGAGCAAAATTGCGATTGTTTCAGAAAGGTTTTTTACATATAGTTTTTTGAAAATTTTTTATATCAAGTTCAAAATTTAACCCTTGACTGTCTTATATTAGGCCATTGATACCAATCCTCTATAAAGTGTCAGTATAAAAGTACAATGACACGTTACATGTAAAATAAACTAACTACAGCGAGCCACCAGAAAAAGGGAATTTTATAACGTAAATTGTATACAGGGTATTTTTGAGTGTCAGGGAGGGTACTTGAATTAGGAGAGCATTTTTGCATTTTATGAGAGTAAATTTTGCTCTGGGCCTAAAACCTGAAGCGGGTTTAATATGAGCATCATTTCATAATGATATTAATGAATAATTACAAGTATTTACTTGAAAATATGTTATTACTCGTGTGATATATTGTATATACGGCATTTGGTATAGAAACTAATATAACTTT